ATAACATTCAACATCTAAATTTCTAAATCAAAATACGCTTCTTTGGACTAAACGACCTTGACATAAATGGGTTACGATTTCTAATTAATCTATTTCTCTTACTCATGCAAGAACGATGGAAATAATTGGTCTAAACGATAAAGTGAATTGGACTTTTTTAAAGGTAGATTCTTTTCTACTCTCTCTCTCTCTCTCTCTCTCTCTCTCTCTCTCTCTCTCTCTCTCTCTCTCTCTCTTTCTCTCTTTCTCTCTCTCTCTCTCTCTCTCTCTCTCTCTCTCTCTATCTCTCTCTCTTTTTTTTTTTTTTTTTTTTTTTTTTTTTTTTTTTTTTTTTTTTTTTTGCTTCACGAGCCGAGTGAGTATTTGCAGTCCTTGAAAAATGGATTGTCTTTTTTTTTTTTTTTTTATACACAAAAGCTTTTTTTTCATTTATTTCGAAATCATTACGTGTACCTGGAGACCAAGACGAAAATACATGGCTATGCTGTTAACACGATTTTTTCCCATTTACTGAAATGGAGATATGATATTAAGCAATGGAAGAGAGAGAGAGAGAGAGAGAGAGAGAGAGAGAGAGAGAGAGAGGGAGGGAGGGAGGGAGGGAGGGAGGGAGGGAGGAGGGAGGGAGGGAGGGAGGAGAGAGGAGAGAGAGAGAGAGAGAGAGGGAGAGAAGAGAGAGAGAGAGAGAAGAGAGAAGAGAGAGAGAGAGAGAGAGAGGGAGAGAGCAGGGGAGAGGGGAGTAAGGAGGGAAAAGGAAGAGAGGAGAGAGAGAGAGAGAGAGAGAGAGGAGAGAGAGAGAGGAGAGAGGAGGGAGGGAGGAGAGAAGAGAGAGAGAGAGAGAGAGAGGAGAGAGAGAGAGAGAGAGAGGAGAGAGGGAGAGAGAGGAGAGAGAGAGGAGGAGGAGAGAGGGAGAGAGGGAGGAGAGAAATAGGAGAGGAGAGAGAGAGAGGAGAGGAGAGTAGGAGAAGGAGAGGGAGAGAGAGAGAGAGGAGAGGGAGAGAGGAGAGAGAGGATGAGAGCGGAGGGAGGAGTTGAGGGAGAGCAAAGCAGAGTAGAGAGGAGAAAAGACGTGAGATAGCCGTCGCGGAAGAGAGAGACAGATTAAGAGAAAGAAAGAGAAAAAACGAGACAAGAGGAGCAAGAAAGCAACCTAAACACACCACGACCCAGCCAAGCGGCGTCGCTTCCATCGCCATCCCGACCCAACAACCGTTTTCTAGCAAATTCTTTTTCCATTTTATCTCGAACCTCAAAGAATATTTCCACCGTAACGGACTCTGCTATTAAGAGAGGAAAAATATGGCCATTGATCTTATACGGCCGTTTTGTTGGTCGATCCGGTTGTTACAGTCGTTTGGGGGGGGAAGAATGGGCCGTTTTTTTTAGTTGCACGTGGGTCGTGGTTGTTTCTTCCGCCCTCCCTCCACTGTCCTTAAATTGTGGTTGTTTAGCTTCTGCCTCCTGCTCTCCCTGTTTTCGCTTCTTTTTTTTTCTTAACAGTGGAGGATACGTTCCTTCCTGCTGTCCTTCTTCTTTTCCGGCCTTTTTTCCCCTTACCCGCCCGCCCTTCCCAATCCCTCCCGCCCCCCCTCTCGTCGCTTTTTCTCGCCCTTTCTCTCAATCCCTTCCCTCGCTCTCTCTTTTGTTATTCTTTCTTCTTTTCTTCCCACCCCTTTCTCGTCTTTTCCCCATCTCGTATTGTGGCCCTCCTCCTCTTCTTTCCCTTCTCTCTTCCTCTATACTGTCCTCTCTCTTCCTGAAGTGTTCCTTCCTCTGCCCTCCCGATCCTCTCCCTATACCGCGGCCTCCCCTGCCTGCATTTTCCTTTCTCTCCGCCTACTGCCATCTCTTTCACATCTCCTCTGTCCGCTAGTCCGCCCCCTCCTTTGCCTCTTGCATTTTCCCTTCCCCTCTTTTTCCTCTCTCCTTCGTCTCCCTATCCCCTCGGCCGTCCTGCCATTTTCCTTCCTCGCTTCCCCCCTGCTCTCTCCTCTCCTCGTCTCCCGTGGGGTGCTCTATTCCGCCACTCCTCCTCGGCATTTTCCCTTCCCTTCCGCTCCCTCTCCCTCCTCCTCCTCCCTATCCCCGCGCCTCGCCTTCCTGCTAATTTTTCCCTTCCTACCCTTTCGCCTGTGCTCTTCCACTCTTCCTCCCGGCTTCCCTTGAGGCCGTGTGCAATAAAAATTCAAAATAGAAAACTTGCGGCTGTTTGATACCGCTAAGCAGTGAACTCATTATTATCCTTAATCATGGATGCAATGAAAGCCGCAGTGTAAATAAGGTTTAAGAAAAAAATGTAGCGAGAGGAAAAGTCTGGTTTTAAATATACTGCTTTATATTTTATTAAAACGTTGATTTCATGTTGTTAGGCGAAAAAACCATTGCATGGAGTTTTGAAAAAAGGAATTACCTCACGGATGGGGAATTAGAATATACTGAATTAATAAAGAAATATAAAAAAATAAAAAAAAAAAAAAGTCGAGAGAGTTTTTAGGAAAAG